ACAGAGACAGACACAGTGAGAGCAGGAACACAAGCAGGGGGAGTGGGAGAGGGAGAAGGAGGACTCCCACGGGGCAGGGAGCCCAATGTGGGACTCTCTCCCAGGACCCCGGGATCACGACCTGAGCTGTAGGCAGACGCCTCAAGACTGAGCCACCCAGGTGCCGCCCAGGTCACTTTTAAGAACAAAAGAGGGACTTGTTAATAATTACACAGGGACAACAGACATAAACAGGACTGTTCTGGGCACACAGGGACGCGGTCATCTGGTCTAGCACTAGCCACCTCCAGTGGGTGCCAAGCAGGTCCAATGAGATCATGGCTGTCTGTGCTCAGCACTCAGCCTGGCACCTCGAGGCCCTTTATCAGGCCCGGATGTACCTACCTACCTGGAGGGACTCCCGGTCAGGAACACATGTGGAAGTAACTGGAAGCCGAGGCAGAGAGTGAGGCCTGGTAGTGAACAGTGAAAGCGCTACATGACCTTGGAAGAGGGAAAGGTCACTCCCAGCAGACCCTATGGCCCCGGGACGATTGCATTCTTTGTACAGGTTGGGTCATCACATGGGACAATCTAGAACCAGAGGGCTCAGGAATCATCTTGTCCATCACCCCCTCCCCATTTATGGAGGAAGAAACTGAGGCATGGAGAAGAGAGGTGCCCGCTGGGCCCCAGCCTAGGGCTCCCTCCCTGCCCCCCCCCCATGTATGGCTGGACTCACAGGCCATGTCCACACTCCCTACCCCACCTGGGCCTCTTATACCACCCCGGGGCCTTGCCCTGATTTTCCAGGTTGATCTCTGACCCCACCTGATGTGGGTGATTAGAGGAGGGGCCGGGCTGCCCTCTGAGCCCCCACTCCGCCCCCCTCATTTCTCTCCCCCAGCGCCTGGCTGGAGCCACCCTCCTCATCTTTGCCAACAAGCAAGACCTGCCCGGAGCGCTGTCCTCTAACGCCATCCGGGAGGTGAGTCCAGGCCTTAGTACAGGCCCATGGAGGAGAACGGGCACGCATTTCTTGGTTAACTTACTTCAGAAGCAAGTATTAGCTCCTCGCGTGGCAGGACCTGTGGCGGACACTGGAGGTTGACTGAGAAGAGCTAGGTCACTCGGCCAGTAAGCAGACAAGTCAGGATCTCAGCGCAGGCCTGTGGGACCCCGAATTGTGTCCTGCCTCCTACTTGAGAGGCAGGATTGTTGTTCTCCTCAGTAAACTGGCCAGCAATCCCTGGCTCCCTGGGCCTTGGGAGGAATGGATGGGAGGACGATTGTGGGGCGCAGAGCACAACAGATGCTCAGGAGCCCACGCTGCTATGCTGTTACTAAGGGGGGTGTGGTGGTGTACCCGGAGCCCAGGTGCCCCCAGGACCTGACAGATCTTCACCAGGGAGACTTCCCCAGGAGACTTCTGGGGGCCCTGGGGGGAGAGCCGGGAGGGGGGAGGGGCTGTGAGCGGCAGGGCCCGCGGTCACCGGGGCCCACCCCCCTCTTCCGCCCTCCCAGGCCCTGGAGCTGGACTCCATCCATAGCCACCACTGGTGCATCCAGGGCTGTAGCGCTGTCACCGGGGAGAACCTCCTACTCGGCATTGACTGGCTCCTGGATGACATTTCCAGCCGCATCTTCACGGCCGACTGAAGCGCTCCGGATGCCCCCCACCTCACAGTCCAGCCCCGCCCCCGCCCCCAGCCCTCATCAGGCACCATCCTTGGGGGAATGGGAGTCAGCCAGCCTGGCGAACACCCCCAACCCCGCGCCCAAAGCTGCCGCTCTGTGGCCCGCCAGCTCCCGTGGCTGGAGGGCTGCCGCCCTGGCTCCCGATGCAGCCGGCCCGCAGCCTCCGTCCGGAGAGGAGGGAGAGGAGAGGGCCGGGCCCGGGAGGGGGCCGCCTCTGCTGCTACCAGGGCTGTGGGCCTCATCCTTTGCTCAGCCATGAGAATAAACCGTTCCTTGCCCCAGTTCCTGGTGGAGTCACTTCTTGCTTCCCCCGCTCTCCGAGACCCGCCCCCCGGGAGCCCGCAGGGTAGCAGGGCACCGAAAGGGACAGGTCGTTCCAGTCAGAGGGTTCACTGCTGCTGTGTCACAGGGACACACGAAGCGTTACAGAAGCACGGGACAGGGCTGCAACTAATTCCGTTTGGAAGGGTCCAGGCAGACTTCCCGGAGGAGGTGACATTGACGTTGGGCAGGAAGGCTAAGTAGAAGTTCTCTGTGTAGAGGAAGGGGGTGGACAGTTCACTAGAACAGTAAATAAGAAGAAGGGACACAGCCCCACATCAGGGCTCATGATTTGCTGAAGGGAATACGGGCTGAATTTCAGCTCCCAACTCCCCACCGTAGCCAGGAACCCACAGGCAGCAGGCAGCGCTGGCTCAAGCAGTGGAACCCATGTGACCGAGAAATGAAGCTCAAGGGCTCTTGGGAAGTAGGGAGGGGAGAGGACCCGGGTGTAAGGACGTGAGCGTCAAGCAGGGCTTGCTAACCGAGCAGAGCACAGAAGGGTCCTTCTCTGAAGACCAAGGCGCTCTCTGAAGCAGGGTTGCCCCGCAGGTGACCCGACAGATGGGTGTTTTCACAGGGCCCCCTGCTGTGGTCCTACTGGGGGCTGCTTACTCCGTTGGGTTCTGTTCAAAGCACTCCCCGGTATCATCACATTGAAGAACAGCCCTGAACAGTACAGACTCTCCAGATCCCGTCTATAGGGGAACTGAGCCTCCGGGAGGGGGGTTATGTGACTTGCTCAAAGCCACCAGCTAGGAAGTAGGGAAGCTGGCATTTGGACCCAGCACATTTAACCACTATGCCATACTATTCTAGGTTTTTGTCTCTGCTCAAAGCTCAGATGGCAGAGAGAGGAGGCCTAATGTGTCTAATGAGGAAAGAGTAGTTTTCCCAAGGAAAAGGTGAGGAAGAGACACCAAGATTTGCTCCTAAACTGGCATTAGGATCCCTTCCTGGAGAGGTACAGATGTGTGCAAAATCTGGGCTCTGTTAAGATGGAAGAAGGGAAATTGATGTTGGGTAAACAACCTTAGAACATAAACTGTCCTTCAAGGTGGAAAATTAAAACCGCTTGCCCTGTCCTCTGTGCAAGACAGACGTTGTCGTCCCCATGCTACCCAAGCCCTGCGGTGAGTGAACAGACCCAGGCTCCCAAGCCAAAGCCCAGCCCTGCCACTCACTGGATGATGCTGAACAAGTGTCTCGTGTGTTTTTGCCTCAGGGTCCCCCTCTGGGGAAAGATAAGGCACCTACCTGCAAAGGGCGGGACAAGGACCAAATGGGTGAGGGTCTTGTGTGTCATTGTATAATGTTAGCTGTCATGTTCAGTATTTGAACCGGTAGGAGCTCAAGCAGATCCAATCAACAGGAACTCAGCCATCTACTGATCCGGATGAGCCACCCCAGGGGTCAAGTCCTCCTGGGGGCCCTTAGTCAGCAGCATCCTTGACTTAAAGAGTGAATTCTGCATGGTTGGAGACAAGGAAATAGCAAGGTTATACTCATTACCAAAGCCTGTGGATGGGGGATCTGAGCTGTGGCAGCAAGTCTGCATCCTGTGGTCAACCCGGTGGGGGTGGGAATGTGGGGAGCCAGACTGGCAGCTGTGCATTTGCAGCTTTCCTCTCTCCTCCTGCCGGCTAAGAGGGCTCTTCTGTTTGCGTCTCCTGGTGATGGAAATAGTGGAGTTGGTGTCTGAAGGCCAGGGGACAAACTGATCTAGATAGGAATGGGCTTGGAGGGGACAGGGCGAAAGAAGAGAAAATGGAGAGAATTGGGAGCTGCAGGGTCAGGGAGGGGAGGGAATGATGGGCAAGAAGACGACTTGGGGCCAGTCTTGCCAGGAGAGCTTGAGAGAGCAGAAATGATGTCTAAAAGGGGTCTCTAGAGGTGTGTGTTGTTCAAGGGGCCGCCACCCCATCTAAGCCTCCTCTCAAACACCTCCTGGATAACCTAACCTGTGTCTGAGCTTCCATGAGTCTCATTTGGGAGTTGGCTTTGTCTCTTTCTGGAAACTGGCCATACAGTGTCCACTCTAAGAGTGGCCGCTTCACCCACACTACCACTTTGAAGCTTCACAACCTGGTTGTTGTGGTATTGGTCAGGGTCCTCGACGGCCTGTCCCAGACACGGACCACAACTGTCTTCAGCAGAAAGGATGGTTCTTGGAAGGATACTAAGAACTCATAGCATCCCGATGGAGGTCTCAGGATGCTGGACATCAGTTTTGGAAAAAAGAGTGCCCAGAGGCTGGGCAGCTCAATCCGCAGCCAACACTGCACATCAGGAACAAACTATTGCCCTTGCCAGGCACTGTGCCCTCTGTTCCTCACTCAAGAAACTCACGATTCAAGCTTCAGGAGAGACTCCCCCACCCCCACCCAGGACGGGGCAAGGAAAGGAGCTCGCACCTTTGGATTCTGGGTAGGAGGCTGAAGGGCTACACCTAGGGAGAACTACCTCCAAACAAAGATATTGTGCTAACGGATAGGTGGGGCTGAATGCCGGACAGACCAAGCAGGGAAAAAAAGAATCCTGCTCTGCAGTAGATTCTATTATAAACATCCCTTATTATAAACACTATAAACATTCTAGAGATGAGAAACTTAGGCTCCAGTAGTTAAGGGAAACTCATACAGCTGGTAAGAAGTGTGACTTCAGAACCTGTGAAGCCATCCTGCTTCTCTGAAGTTCTTTTTTGCCTCCCCACCCTTGCAGAAAATATGAATTAGCGAATCCTATGGAGGGAGACAGGGAAATATTTGGCTACAACTGGCACGCACTGGACACAATAAAACTGGGTAGGTAGATAAAAGAAGGGAACTAGGAAGCAGAGGAGAAGTCGTTTGGACACGTTGGATGGGGCGGGCTTGAACACTGGTCAGAGCTGAGTGATCCAACCTCCCCAGTCCTTAACTCTTTAAATCACCTAGTTCACGCTTTACCAGCCACTGAGAACTTTTTAGACGCTCCCTGGCCGCAAGCCAAGGCCGAGAACTGCGCCGTCACTTGCGACCGGCTCCCTGGACCCGGGGAAGGAGGACGCAAGCCCCGGACAGGCGGTGGCTGGCGGAGACTGACCCGGAGGGGCGGGGGCGGCGTGGAGGAGGCGGAGGCCGGCTGCCAGCTCCACTCCGGCTCGGTTACCATGTCCCGCCAGGCGAAGGACGACTTCCTGCGGCACTACACAGTCTCCGACCCCCGGACCCACCCCAAGGGCTACACCGAGTATAAAGTGACCGCGCAGGTGAGGTGGGGCCCGGCGGGGACCTTTACCCTTTTAACAAGGGGGGGGCAGTGTTTTACTTTAAGGCAAAGCACTGCTGGACGCTCCCTTTTTAGACGACAGAAATGCATTTCCCCTTTAAGGGGAGGCTGCGGTATAGACTTCGTTTACATCTCTAGCCGTCGGGGGTGTGGCCCTGGGAGGGCGCTGTCCTTTTAAAAGGGCGTGGACGGCAGTTCTCGGAGTGGGAGGGGTGGGTTCCCACGCCCAACGTGTGGTGTCTGCGCATCAGGCTGTGAATTTCTTTAAATTAACACGAAAACTCTGGCTCAGTCCAAATATTAGTTAGTTCTCCAATCTCTTGGAGTAAGTCGTGTTAACTGGTTTGTTTGATATTTACATAAAAGCCCTTTTCAAGAGTTTAATTTTTAATTTTTTCAAAAAAATACCTGTGACTTTAAAAATTCATACAGCTCGAGAATTTTCAAGAGTAAGTCTCTATCTTCACCGTCCCAGCAGGAAGTCAATAGGGAAAGACTAAAGTTGACTACGAAGCAGTAACAACTTTATAAGCAGATTTTATAGGTACATGGGGGAAACCATGAGAAGAATTTAAAAATAGAATGATATCCGAGAACTGGTTGGGGGAAGACTTTTCACCGTAAATTGTTTTGTACTTTTAGCATTTTAAACTAGGCAACTATTAAACTGGTGCATTCGTAACTATTAAAGGGAAGCAAAAACACAGACACTTCCAAAGTGTATACCTCTGAGCAGGCAGTGCTCAGATCGGGATATAGACATTTCCTTCACCCCAGAGACTTTCTTTGTATCTTTCCAATCTATAGTTCTCCTCCCACAGAGGTAACCACTGTCCTGACTTCTGTCACTGTAGATTAGTTTTGTCTGTTCTTGAACCTCATCCGAATGAAATCATTACACAGCAAGTACTCACCTGTGTGTGGCCTTTTTCACTCTATGTAATGTTTTTGGAATTCATGTTGTTGCATGTATAAGTTGTTTGTTCTTTTTTATTGCCATGTGATAGGAGTCCCTTGTAGAAATATACCACCATTTCTTTATTCATTCTCTTGTTGTTGGACATTTGGGTTGTGTCTAAAAAAATTTTTAGTTGTTACGAGTAGAGTTGTATGAACATTCATGTACAAGTCTTTTTATGGACATGTGCACCCATTTTTTCTTGGTATGTACCTAAGAGTGGAATTGCTGGATCATTTGATAGCTACATGTGTAGTTGTCCTAGAAATTACCAGTTTCCAGGGCGCTGTTTGCTGTTGGTCCTAACTGAAACTGACAAAATATTTAAAAGAATGTTTAAGTAGCTCTGTGGTTGGAAGTTGGCCAGGTTGGTGGCTGATATTCAGAGCCTGATAAGAACTTGTGGGGTTTTTTTGTTTGTTTATTTGTTTGTTTTGACCTTTATCCCTATGCTAAATGTACCCAAAGGGACAGAAAAACCTTTCAACATAGATGGATGTGTCAGTCTTTTGGTATCTTTTAGGTGGCAATCCAATTCCCTGAGGAATTAAAAACAGCTGTCCTTGTTTTACACCTGAGTCTTTTTTTTAAAAGATTTAATTTAATTTTTTTTTAAAGATTTATTTATTCATTTGAGAGAGCAAGAATGAGAGAGAGTGCATGAGAGGGGGGAGGGTCAGAGGGAGAAGCAGACTCCCCGCTGAGCAGGGAGCCCGATGCGGGACTCGATCCTGGGACTCCAGGATCATGACCTGAGCCGAAGGCAGTTGCTTAACCAACTGAGCCACCCAGATGCCCTTATTTAATTTTTTAAAAAGATTTATTTATTTGTCAGAGAGAGAGGGAGTGCACAAGCAGGGGGAACAGCAGGCAGAGGAAGAAGCAGGCTCCCCGCTGAGCAAGGAGCCTGATGGGGGACTTGATTGCAGGACCCTGGGATCATGACCCAAGCTGAAGGCAGATGCGTAACCAGCTGAGCCACCGGGGCGCCCTGGAGCATGCAACTCTTGATCTCAGGGTCGTGAGTTCAAGCCCCATGTTGGGCTTAGAGATAACTTTAAAATCGTTAAAAAAAAAAAAGAAAGAAAGAAATCACCAGTTTTCCAAAGTGGTACAGTACTTCAAAGTACTTTTATAATCCCATTCTCACCAGCACTTGGTATCATCAGCATCTTCAATTTTCGGCATTGTAGGTGTGCCTGGGTGGCTCAGTTGGTTAAGCGTCTGCCTTCGGCTAAGGTCATGATCTCAGGGTCCTAATATCAAGCCCCACATTGGGCTCCCTGCTCAGCAGGGAGCCTGCTTCTCCCTCTGCCCTTCCCAACCTCTTGTGCTCACACTCTCTGTCTCTCTCTTTCTCTCTCAAATAAATAAAATCTTTTTTGAAAAAATTCGGCATTTTAAGTGGGTGGGTGTGTAATATCTCACTGGAGTATAATTTGCATTTCTCTGATGACTAATGATGTTGAACATATTCTCATTGTCTTATTGGCCATTCAGACACCTTCTTTTGTGGGAGGTGCCTGCTCAAATATTTTGCCCAATTTCAAAAGTTGAGTTGTCTTTTTAGTATTGATCTGTAGTTCTTTATATATTCTGGATATGACTCCTTTGTCAGATATATGTATTCCTCAACAGTTTTTAAATCTAGTTTCTTTTACCCAAGATATTTCAGGCCAAGTCTATTGTGAAAAGCAAAGGCCAGGGTTTTGGTCCTACCAGTCCCTCTTACTTGGTATGTGATTTTTTTTTTTTTTTAATTTTTACTTTTAACTGAGGTATAGTTGACATACAATATTATGTTAGTTTCAGGTGCACAACATATTGATTCGACATTTATATTCATTATGAAATGCTCACCATGGTAAGTGTAGTTGACCATCGGTCGCCATACAAAGTTATTGCAATATTATAGACTATATTCCCTATGTTGTACTTTTCATCCCTATGACTTATTTATTGTACAACTGGAAGTTTGTACCTCTTAATCTGCTTCATCTATTTCACTTACCCCTCCATCCACCTCCCCTCTGGCAACCACCAGTTTGTTCTATTTATGAGTCTGTTTCTGGTTTTGTTTATCTTGTTTTGTTTTTAGATTCCACATATAAATGAAATCATGTAGTATTTGTTTTTCTCTGTCTGACTTATTTCATGTAGCATAATACCTTCTCAGTCCATCCATGTTATCCAAATGACAAGATTTCATTCTTTTTTATGGCTGAGTAATATTCCATTGTATATATCTACGACATTTTCTGTATCCATTCACCTATTGATCTATTGATGGACACTTAGATTGCTTCCATATCTTGGCTGTTGTAAATAATGCTGCAATAAACAAAGGGGGATATATATCTTTTTGAATTAGTGTTTTTGTTTTCTTTGGGTAAATACCCAGAAGTGAAATTACCGTATCCAATGGTATTTCTATTTTTAATTTTTTAGGAAACTCCATACTGTTTTCCATATTGGTGCACTGATTTACATTCCCTCCAACACTGCATGAGGGTTCTCTTTTCTCTACATTTTCACCAACACTTGTTATTTCTTACCTTTTTGTTCGGACTGGTGTGAGGTGATATCTCATTGTGGCTTTGATTTGCATTTCCCTGGTGGTTAGTGATGTGGAGCATCTTTTCATGTGTTTGTTGCTTATCTGTATATCTTCTTTTGGAGAAACGTCTATTCAGGTCCTCTGCCCCCCCCCTTTTTTTTTTATATTTATTGAGCTATCTTTACTAGTGTCCTCCCTCCTTTCTTCTTCCCTCCCTCCCTCTCTTCCTTCTTCCCTCCCTTCCTCCCTCCCTTCCTTCCTCCCTTCCTCGAGCCAGTGGGGGATGCAGAGAGTGTGGGAGAGAGACAGAATCTTAAGTAGGCTCCACACCCAGCTTGGAGCCCTACATGGGGCTCGGTCTTACGACTCTGAGATCATGACCTGAGCCAAAATCAAGAGACCCACACTCAACCAACTGAGCCACCCAGGCACCCCCTGGTTTTTTAAATTGGATTGTTTTGGGTTTTTGGTGTTGAGTAGGCGTTCTTTATATATTTTGGATATCACCTCATTATCAGATAGATCATTTGCAAAATGTGCCATGTGATCTTGCCACAGGTCACGTCCCCTCTCTGCCCCTCCACTTCCTTATCTGGTAAATAGGTCTGTTAATCCTATCTGCCACCTTGGGTTCTAGGATAATTAAAAGGAGATGTTTGGAAGACTATCAAGTAGTCCACGTTGTAGAGTGTTATTTTCTAATTATTATGATTATACCGTAGTGAGTACAGAGTCTTCTTCCCAGCTCAGACCCCATTCTTCTCTTCTAGAGGTCGCAACCCCAGTGATGTTTTCTTCCGCCTAAAGGAGTGTTTTGCCCACAGAGGCTTCCTCACTTACAAAAGGGAGTGGCTCCTGGGACAGAACCTCGTTCTTTAGAGAACTGGAGGTTCTTCCGTTTCAGAAGGAGATGCAGGGACGTGGCCCGTCAAAGGAAGTGAGGTAGTCCTGGCTTTGTTAGCACACGTGTGAAGTTGGGACGGCACAGAGATTAGCACGACCCCGGCGCTAGGATGGCCCGCAAGTTCATGAAGGGACTGAGATAAAAGTTGGGCTGAGGACCACAGGGTCTGGATGGGATCCTCCCATCTGGCACATGAAGAAACTAGCACCTGATAGAAAAACTGCTTCAGGTGACACAAAGCCTTGAAGCCAGGACACCTTGATACCAGTGGCCAAGAGCCAAAGGCCACAACGAGGGCTGGGAGGTACCTGGGGCATCGCTGGATTTTACTGCGCGATGGGGTGTCAGATGTCAGTCTCTGGTCTCACCTGGTTCTTGCCTTTCTTCCTCAGTTCATCTCAAAGAGGGACCCAGAGGATGTCAAAGAGGTGAGGCTCCTGGGAGGAAGGGGGACCATTCCCTAGTTCCAGATGCAGGCGCAGCAGAGGAACAAGTGGGAACTCCGCGGCCCTGGGAGGAGCAGGCGTGGGGCCCCGACCCACGCACGCGCTGGCCCAGGCTGGGGGTGGGGAAAGCCTCTTTCCACCGGCACCACGGCCGGCCTGGGCCAAGTCTCGGGTCCCTGGCAGGTGGTGGTTTGGAAGCGGTACAGCGACTTCCGCAAGCTGCATGGGGACCTGGCCTACACCCACCGCAACCTCTTCCGCCGCCTGGAGGAGTTCCCGGCCTTCCCCCGCGCCCAGGTGTTTGGTGAGTGTTGATCTAGGCATTCAGGCCAGAGATGGAGGGAGAGGTGGGCAGAGGGGACCCCTGCTGGGCGGGGGGGGGGGAGGAGAGCTGGATGGGGGGCCAAAACCCCCAGCAGAAGCCACTTTTGGGGAGGGCCCTTAGAGACAGCCTCATTTCACACATGGGGAAACTGAGGCTCAGAGCAGCCTAACCCTCAGTGTGTGTGGAGCCCTTCAGCATTTCTTCTTCTTTAGCCCCATTTTCAAGACAAGGCAGCTGAGGCTCAGGGTCATAGAGGGGCTTGGCCTGTAAGTGGCAGAACCAGAATTCCTCCCCCAGAGCTGGGGTCTGCGCTGTCCAAAAACAGCAGCTGTGAGCCAGAGGTGGTGAGTCTGAGCCGAGGTGTGCCGTGTGGGTTGAATGCACACTGAAATAGAATGTAAACTATGGCGATAATTTATATATTGATCACAGGTACAAATGAGACTATTTTGGATATACCGGGTTCAGTGGAATAAATTATTCAAGTTGAGTTAACCTGTTTCTTTTTAACGTGGCTACGAGAAAATGAATAATTGCACATGTCACTCGTGATGTATTTCTGGTGGACAGGACCGATCTGTTAGCTGGGTCTCTAGACTCCCGTGAGATACTCTTTCACAGTGAGGCGAAGGGTTGCTGCCCGCAGGGGATGCAGGCTGTGGGCGGTGCGGCCTGCTGCTAGGTCAGAGGTAGTTCATTCCGCAGCATGCCTAGAACAGAGCAGGGAGACTGTGAAAAAGGAGGTACTTGCTGTGTGACCTTGGGCAAGTCACTTCTCGTCTCCGAGACTTCCTTTCCTCTCCGTTACATCAAAACCATCTGAAATTATTTTGTTTCTTGTTGGTTGCCTACCCACCTCCCGTGTCTAGGATGTGAATCCACGAGAGCAGAGACCTTGCTTTCCTCCCATTCACCTTCTGAACCTAGCACATTAGTAGGTGCTCCGTAAACATCTGGTACATGGAGGCCTAGGGGGCTTGGTCCCTGATTGCAAGCAGCCCACGCCCGCCCCCCAGGAGGAGCCAGGGAAGATTGCTGGGGGGATGGCCGGCTGCTGGGATCCTCTCCAGCAGAAGCAGGAAAGTGACCCCTGTGGCTCGCTGTTTCTCTCCCCACCCCTCGTCCTGGGGGGCGCTGCAGGCCGGTTTGAGGCCTCAGTGATTGAAGAGCGGCGGAAGGGGGCTGAGGACTTGCTTCGCTTCACTGTGCACATCCCCGCGCTCAACAACAGCCCCCAGCTCAAGGAGTTCTTCCGGGTATGTGTCCCTGCTTGTCCCTCTTCCCCGGCACCTGGGAAGCCCACCTGCCCCCTGGGCTGCACCCTGAGACTCCCCCCGCCCCCTCCCCCGCCCTGTGCCTGTCTTTCTCTCCTGCAGGGTGGGGAGGTGACCCGGCCCTCTGACATGTGCAGAGACCTGCACATCCTGCCACCCCCTCTGATCCCCACACCGCCCCCTGAGGATACCTGGTTGCCCCAGCCGCTCCCCACAGAGAGGAGAGGCCTGGAGGAACTGGACGTGCCAGGTACATCAGGGTTGGGAAGGGAGCCAGGGATGGAGGGCCTGGGGGTGGTGGAGAGCACACACTTCCTTCTCAGTGAGCTTAGTAAAAACTCTGCAGTATGTCCCAGTTCCTCTACCACTAACGTGCTGAGGAGCTCTGGCCAGGCCATTTTCCTTCTCTAGGCTACAGCTTCTTAGTCTGTAAAAGGGGTACCACCCTGACGAGGAGTGGGCTCGTCTATGCCCGTGGGTGCCACGAGGAGTTAGTGAGAGGGTAATTGTATTTTGAAAGCTGGGAAATGATAAGGACAGGCATGAATGTCCCCATTGATTGGTTCCACAGCGGATCCCCCACCATCCAGCCCTGCCCAGGAGGCCCTGGATCTCCTCTTTAACTGTGGGAGCACCGAGGAGGTGTCCGGTTCCCCTGCCCGAGGCCCCCTCACAGAGGCTGAGCTTGCCCTCTTCGACCCCTTCTCCAGGGAAGGTAACAAGCTGGGACAAGCAGAGGGGGGCTGAGGTGGGGGCAAGGAGGGCGGGCAGAGCCACCGACGAGCGTGTGTAGTACCTGTGTAAATGCTAGAAAGACTCCCCACTCCGGGCAGTTGGCAGCCTTAGTGAGCATTGGAAGCTGGCACCCCGGTGCCAGGGCTCGTGAGCTGGATGCCCCTGGACAGTGAGCAACCAGGGAGAAAGAAAAGGGAGATCTTCTCAGGGACAGGTGGATCTTCTCCCCAAGAAAGCTCTGGAACAGGCAGGCATCACACCGTCTTGGGAGGATTTGAGTTCCTTCCGTTGGAAGCCCAAGGTGGGGGTTTCCTGGCCGGCTTAGGGTCGCGCTGCAGATCCTGAAGGCAGGAGAGGCCTGTTGGTCAGGGGAGTGAGACTTGGGCTCAGAGGAGGAGGCCCTCCCACAGGAGGCCCAGGCATGTGGGGGCACCACAGACCCGCCATAGCGGGGGAAGCCCCCTCCCCTCTTCCCGTGGAAGAGTAGAGAATGGCAGGAGGCCGATTGAACCAGGTTATTGAGTGAAGGGAATGATGAAGAGGAACCCGGTTTGGGGTTACCCATTTTGGAAGGTGCCCAAAGGCTAAGAGCGAGGGTTCAGGGTTCGGTGGGCAGCATCCCTGGTCCCAGGCTCTGAAACACTGCACCTTTTCCTTCTCAAAGTCTCCGACCCAGTGCTGTTGCTGTAGCTGGGGGGTTGAAGCGGCTGATCTGCTTCAGGATCATCATGAAAGCGTTTCAGTTTGGAATCCTCCCATCTTTTTAAGCCCATTTTGTTGGCTTTTCTTCTTTGCCCTTTCGTGACCTCCCGGGCACACCCTCAGCTTTGTGATCAGGTTTCAGGCATCTGGGTTCGCTCACCCCGGGTCCGATCCAGATCCAAATCGGGACCTCAGTCTTCCACCCAGTTACTCAGCTCCAAACCACCGCCCTGCTCGCCTGGGAGGAGTATCCTTTTACTCTTCTTGTTCTGCTTCCTCCCGTCCCTGCTCCTTCAGCCACTCCACAGCTGGGATGGGGAAGAAGGAATTAGGGGGAAAGGTGAGGGTGGTGCCACCGGGGCCTGCCTGCCTTGCCCCAGCTGAGCCCCCAGGGGTGTCCAGTGGCCAGATGCTCCGACAGGAGCCTGTCAAGATTCCTAGGACGTAGCTCCCATCAGACATTCCCTTGGCCCATAAGAAAACTCCCGAACTCTGGGACGCCTGGGTGGCTCAGTTGGTTAAGCGTCAGGGTCCTGGGATTGAGCCCCACATCAGGCTCCTTGCTCAGTGGGGAGCCTGCTTCTCTCTCTCCCTCTGCCTGCTGCTCCCCCTGCTTGTGTGCTCTCTCTCCCTCTCTCTGACAAATAAATAAAATCTTAAAAAAAAAAAAAAGAAAGAAAAGAAAACTCCCAAACTCTTGCCCCGCCAAAGCCTGGAAGTACAGTTTGCTCAGATGTTGCCTCATCTCCTTGCCCCACTGTTGTGGGCACCTCCAGCAAGTCCCTCAACATCAGAGTCCTCCAGGCAATGAGCTGGCACTCGTCTCTCTCTTCAACACATGCATCAAACTCTCGTACTCACGTTAGGGCATCCCAGGAACTCCTCTGCCTTCTGCTCCATGAGCAACACTGGCTGTATGTCCAGCTGGGAAGTAAGAGGTCATCTTCCCTTCCTGCAGGAGGCCTCCCAGTCTCCTCACGGGGTCACTGGGATGGAGTTAGACCGGTGAGTGGTGCGCCATGGTGCTTCCTATTCTGGCACCTTCCCTCCAAAGGCCTTTTCGCCAATGATGGACCAAATCTCTAGCCTTCTCTTGTATAAGCTGCAGAGGGCATGTTTGGCCCCCTTTTGGCCAGTCCTGGGGTATATAAGGAGACCTTCTCTCTGGAATGTGAGGACACCCACCACCCACTGTCTTCATGTTTGGGTCCTCAGCTGAGGTTGTAAGACCTGAGATTCTCTGCATCTATTATTCCGACATTCCAAGGTTTGGAGCATTTCTACCCTTGGCCTGGCTTAGTTGGTCTGGCATCCTTCAGTTGAACTTTACGGAGGGAATTCTTAGATTTGTAGATCAACTGTAGTCAGGAAGGAAGTAGGCCCAGTGACCCAGACCTCGCAAACTAATGTTAATATGTACCTAAAGAATTAGGAAGGTAATACTGTTTTTACAAAAGCACAGGAACTCCACCAATTAAACCAATCATGGCTAGTCTGTTATATATGAATGGCTTTTGAATTGCTCAGGCACTGCTTCCCTCCACCTGGGGCAGGCTGGTACCTTGATGGGCAAGAGAGGTCTGGGGATGGGCCGCAGGCCCTGGGAAACAGAGGGCAGTCTGGCCTGAGCCCTCCATATCTGACTGTAGAAGGTTCAGGCCCCAGTCCAACCCACATGGGTGAGCTGGCAGCGATGGAGGCAGAGTCTGAAAGGCTGGACCAGGAACCCTGGGAGCCTGGAGGGCAGGAGGAGGAAGAGGACGAGGAAGGCCGGCCAACCCCTGCCTACCTGAGCCAAGCCACAGAGCTCATCACCCAGGCCCTGCGGGATGAGAAGGCAGGTGCCTACCCTGCAGCTCTGCAGGGCTATCGGGACGGCGTGCACATCCTGCTACAGGGCGTTCCTGGTGAGTACGACCGGAAGGTGGAAGGTTAGGCCTAGAGTCTCAGGCGGTGGAGGGAAGGGAAGGGAAAGTGAAAGACAAGTCAAGGATCAGAATTGGTCATCACTGACAAGCTGTGCAACCATGGGCAGCTTCTTTACCTCTTGTGGCCTCAGTTTTCTTATTTGTAAAATGGGGAGAATGGACCTGATTCCCAGGGAGGTAGGGAAAGACACATGTTGATGCTCTGTGAACTGTAAGGGGCCCGACCAGGGGTTTTGAACCCAGGGATCTCAGCTGAGCCATTCTCTCTTCACAGGTGACCCATCACCTGCCCGCCGGGAGGGTGTGAAGAAGAAGGCAGCCGAGTACCTGAAGAGAGCAGAAGAAATCTTGCACCTGCACCTGTCCCAGCCCCCCTCCTGAGAGGGAGTGAACCCCTGCCCAGGACTGTAGCCCCAGCACTGCCAGCTACCCCCTTTCACTCTCCCTGGGGCCTTGCCTGATATCCTGGTCTTGTAACACTAGGGGTCATTTCTGTATGTAACTGGACCAAGAATGAGACAAATAATGAATTCAGAGCTCCTTGACCACACCTGCCACTTTGGAATCAGGACAAAACCTTAAGCTGATCCTGCCTGTCTGTCTTGCGTGGGCAGCATCCCTGGTCCTGAACTGGCTGTTCACCCATCTAGAACCGGGGTCTGCAAACCATGGCCTGCAGCCACATCTTGCCCACGGCCTTTTTTTGTAAGGCCCGTGAGCTAGAATGGTTTTTACATTTTTTAATAGTTGAAGAAAAAACAAAAGAATAGTATTCTGTGACAGATGAAAATTACATGAAATTTAAGTATTAAAAATAAAATTCTGTTGGAACACAATCGGACTCATTCTCTTAATATTGTCTTTGGCTGCTTTCCCACTACACCAGCAGAGTTGAATAGTTGCTGAGTTGCCCAGTTGCGACCTTCAAATCCCAAAGCATTTACTATCTGGCCCTTTGCAGAAAAAGTCTGCTGACCCCTGATCTAGAAAATGGGGAGAATAGTCTCCAGGGAAACGAGAGTAGAGAATGGCAGGAGGCCGATTGAACCAGGTTATTGGGTGAAGGGAATGATGAAGAGGAACCCGGTTTGGGGTTACCCATTTTGGAAGGTGCCCAAAGGCTAAGAGCGAGGGTTCGGGGTTCGGCGGGCTGAAGCCTGGGAGGGCGTGGCTCCATTCCTCCCCCGCCCCTCCGGCGAAGTGATTGGTTGCGGAACGGACTACAAACTGGTGTATCATGGGAGTGGGCTGGGCTGTGCGCGGGGCATCCTGGAAGCTTTGGCGGCGTCTGAGTCGGAAGTGGCGGCGCTGAACTACAGCGCAGTGTGTCTCGGGAGGCCTACTGCAGGCTTTGTGGGAGGGGACGGGGCCCGGCTGGGATCCGGCCGGCCTCCGCCAGCCCTCGCGTAGAACGGGGCGAGCGGCCGCCGTCGTCTCCGAGATGTTGAGGGCTTCTCCCTTCCCCTCAGCGCCCCCATGGCCGGCTGCGAGCTGCCCGTGGGCACTTGCCCAGACATGTGCCCGGCCGCCGAGCGCGCCGAGCGCGAAAAGGAGCGACGCCTGCACCGCTTCGAGGTGGCGCCGGGGGGCCGCAGCGACCCGCCCCGCGCGGACCCAGAGCGCGCCGTGAAGGAGTACAGACGGCCGGCCGCCGGCAAGGCGCGGCCCCCGCCGAGCCAGCTGCGTCCGCCGTCCGTGCTGCTGGCCACCGTGCGCTACCTGGCCGGCGAGGTGGCCGAGCGCGCCGACGCCTCCTGCGCCGAGGTGGCCAGCTTCGTGGCGGACCGGTTGCGCGCCGTGCGGCTGGACCTGGCCCTGCAGGGCGCGGGCGACGCCCAGGCGGCGGCGGTGCTGGAGGCGGCGCTGGCGGTGCTGCTGGCCGTGGCGGCGCGGCTGGGGCCGGACGCGGCGCGCGGGCCCGCGGACCCGGTGCTGCTGCAGGCCCAGGTGCAGGAGAGCTTCGGTTCTCTGCGGCGCTGCTACGGGCGGGGCGCCGGGCCGCATCCCCGCCAGGCCGCCTTCCAGGGCCTCTTCCTGCTCTATAACCTGGGTGAGTCGGGGTCCCGGCGGCGGGGCGGGGGTGGGGCCTCCGTGGGGACGGTGGAGGCCGGGGAAGGAAAGAGAAACTTGGCAATCTCACCATTAGCTCCGTCCCCATCGCTGCCTTCTAAATGTGCGTTGAGTCCGTGCGCTAGATCCACTGAACCCCCCCCGCCGTGGGCCTTCTGGCCTGTCCCTTCCCCTATTTGGGTTTTTGTTTGTTTGTTTTTGTTTTGTTTTGGGTGTTTTTTTTTTTTTTGTAATAAAAGTGGAGAGGACGGGATTGGAACGGAAAAATTGACCTAGTGATTTTCAAACTTTTTTTAACTCTTGTTCAGTTTTGCAAAACAGCCAAGAATATATCTGACACAGAAGTTTCAAGACATTAGATCCTTCCAATGGATGGCTGCTGCATTCTAATAAATTCTGTTGTATTTAATTGTAATAAAATGCTCTTGGTTTCAAAACCCACTAATGGGTCAGAAGCCTCAGTTTACAAAAGTGGCCCAAGGTTCCAGTGTCCATGATTCTTCTGGAAGGGAAGCAGAAGCAGAATGTCCTCGAAGAAAAGGCTTTACCGGGTGGACAGCTGAGCCATTTCCTAATCTGTGCAGCAGCTAGGGCAGTGGAGAAAGGGCTGTGGGTTTGAAGTCAGAAAACTTGGATTTTGTTGTGTCAAATTGTACTACATTCGAACTCTTTTTTTAAAATTAATTAATTTATTTTTAAAGATTTTATTTATTTGAGAGAGCGAGAATGAGAGAGAGAGCACATGAGAAGGGGGAGGGTCAGAGGGAGAAGCAGACTCCCCGCTGAGCAGGGAGCCTGATGCGGGACTCGATCCCGGGACTCCAGGATCATGAACTGAGCTGCCCAGGCGTCCCTACATTCGAACTCTTTTTTTTTAAGATTTTATTTATTTATTCATGAGAGACAGAGAGAGAGAGAGAGGCAGAGGGAGAAGCAGGCTCCCCGCGGAGCAGGGAGCCCGATGCGGGACTCGATCCCAGGACCCTGGGATCATGACCTGAGCCGAAGGCAGACGCTTAACCATCTGAGCCACCCAGGCTCCCTACATTCGAACTCTTAAGACAGTCTCAGGCAAGTCATGAACTTATCTGGGCCTGTCTCCATCATCCAAAAACAATGCCTCACTTTCTTACGAGGATCCAGACTGTTTGAAGGGGCTCTGGCAACTCATTCAGATAAGGCGCTGGAAGGGGCTGATAGAAAAAAGGGGGCGGGAAGGTGAGCTTGGCCCAGGGGAGGGGCGTGGCCAGAGAGGAAGGTAGGCCAGCCAAGGTGGGAGATGGCCAGAGGTGGGCCTGGCTGAGGACCCCAGCCTTTGGGAGAAGATATGGGAGGAGGCCTGACCAGATGGGATGGAAGGTGGCCCGGTAGGGGAAAGACAGAGTTCTCACCCTGGCTTCCGCCCTCACAGGCTCCATGGAGGCCCTTCATGAGGTTCTGCAGCTACCAGATGCCCTGCGTTCCTGCCCGGCCCTGCGCAGGGCCCTGGCTGTGGACTTGGCCTTCCGCGAAGGCAACACCGCCCGCCTGTTCCGCCTGCTCCGGATCCTGCCCTACCTGCAAAGCTGTGCAGTCCGGTGCCACGTGGGCCGTGCCCGCCGGGGAGCCCTGGCCCGCCTCGCTCGGGCCCTGAGCACCCCCAAAGGCCAGACCTTGCCTCTGGGCTTCGTGGTCCACCTGCTGGCCCTGGATGGGCCCGAAGAGGCGCGGGACCTCTGCCAGGCCCATGGACTGCCCTTGGATGGACAGGAAAGAGTTGTATTTCTCAGGGGTCGCTACACTGAGGAAGGGCTGCCACCTGCGGGGACCTGCAAAGTGTTGGTGGGGAGCAAACTTGCAGGGCGCACCCTGGAGGAGGTGGTCATGGCTGAGGAGGAAGATGAGGGTGTGGACAGACCCACGTCCCCGGCATGAGGAGAAGGCGTGCACTCTCCCAGAGCCCAGGACTGGATCTAAGCACTCAGGTTTCTTTTTTGTAATTCCTACACAATAAAAAGTTTTGTAGGGATAATAACTATGCTTGGTTTATTTGGGGGAGAGCAGGGAGGAGTTGAGGGACACGATAGGGGTGTACGGGGAGAAGAACCCAGACTATCCATCCTGGGCCTCAGTTTCCCTGCTGGTCCCTGAGGGGTAGCTCTCGTTGGCATTATGCATCCCATCCTTACCCACTCACACCAAGAGCACCACTCCCCACCATTCCTGTCTCCTGTTCTTCACCCTTTGCCAACCAAGAGCCAGAATGAGGAAGGCTTCCCTCCCCTCAGGTGTCCACAACTGGTGGGACCCTAAGCTGTTGTCTCAGAAGCTTAATAGGGTCCCATGATTGTGCCTCAGGTTGGCATCAAGGAAGACTGGGACACACCCAAGAAAAATTGGAGTGGGATAGGTTGAAGGACGGTGGGGAGCTGGGGTCAGAGGTCAGCCACAGGCCTTAGGGTGGCTGCTGCGCCCTCCAGGGCCACCACCAAGATGCTGAGCTGCCTCTGCACTTCAGCCCAGGCTGCGGATCCAAGGCCTGTGTTCATGGCCCTGGAGCAGGCATTGGCCAGGCCGGGGAATGTGGCTACGGAGCCAGTGCGGGGTGCCCAGAGCACGTGGCTGACGGGAGATAGAGGGGAGGAGCCAAGTCACTCGGGGACCCAGAAAGAGCGGAGCTTCAGCCTGAACGGGCTCATCTGTATATAGCAAGGCACAAAAGCACCTCCCCACTGCCTTTGAAAGCTGGGACCCTCAGAGCAGTGGTGGTGAGAGACGCAGCTTACAGCCCCAGGGTGACGTGGACTGATTTGCCTCCCATCCTCTGAACCTGATTCCCTACCTGTTTCCAGGGGCTGGGTTGTGTTCTAAAGGCCAGCAAAACTCTTAGATTCTCCCTCAGATGGGTGCCCCTTGCCCAGCCTCACCCTGCACTTCCCCAGGCCCACCTGTAGTAGCGTTGTTCCTCTGGGAAGGCTCGCGGGTTTCGGAAGGTCCGTTCCAAGAGCATCAGCTGGTCGTTGAGCATCCGGACCTGCAGGGGGCTGGAAGTGGCAGGACCTTTGTCACCCTGGGACCAGCAGCCCAGCGGCCAGCCTGCATTCTGCCCTGGATGCTGCCCTCCCAGACAGCCTGCTTGCTGCCCGTGCTCACTCAGGGGTGCCCTTCTGCAGCGCTGATACGTGTTGGTCCAAGGCCGCAGCTGCCCCCTCAAACTTCTCCACTGCAGTCACCAGAGGCCCTGTGGGCAACAGCCAGCATCTTAGCCCTGGAGGTGCAGGGCGCCCCACACCTCCCGTGTCAAGGGGGCTCCATACCCAGGCTGATGCTGTGCTGCTCTAACCGGGCCCCCAGGTTCTGCTGGGCAGCCTGCAGAAAGCTTCGGAGGGGCTCTCCACAGTCCCTGACATTCAGCGGAAGAAAGAGGCTGTCACTGAGCCTAAGAAGCACGCTCCCCGCTGTCCGGGCCATGGCCTGGTGGCTGCCGAAGCCTGCAGGGAGGGTGACCAGGCCAGGGCTCAGTCTTCAGCCCATCCTCCCCCAGCCTCAGGATTCCCCTTGCCCCCCTCCTCACCAGGGTCCGCAAATTTGTCCACGTAACCAAAGGGGTCGAAGGCCGTGTGGTAGGTGGGGTAGATCCTGGCTGAGGTCTTGCTCTAGGGGAACAAGGCCAAGGTGACAGGCTTGGGATGAGAAGTGAGGGGGAGGTGTACCAACAGTGAGCTACAACATAGGGACATGACTGAAATCATCGCTACAGCCATGAGGTAGGTTCTAGAATTCCTACTTTACAAAGGAGGAGACTGAGGCTCAGAAAGACTGTCGCCTGCCTGACCTCACAGCTGATAGCGGCAGAGCTGGGTCAGCTGCCAGTTTCCCATTTCACATGAAGAAGAGCCTGAGGCTGCGGAGTCACATGAGAGGATTCAAATCCTAGCTCCACCACCCAGGAGCAGTATGGCCATGAGGGGGAGAAAGGGCTTTGTGGAGCATCGAGCAGGGAGACAAAGGCTGGGTCCTCCACATCCCTTACCTCATTTCACTCTGCACACCAACGCTATGAATCCATCCCTGTTTCATACTGTTATTTAATCTATTCTGGGGTAAACATGTTTTCATTTTTTAAGATCTCTGGAATCAGAATGCCTCTTTTATTTTAAGATTTTTTTTTTTTTTAAAGTAATCTCTACATCCAACGTGTGGCTTGAACTCATGACCCCAAGATCAAGAGTTGCATGCTCCATGGCTTGAGCCAGCCAGGCGCCCCAGGATGCTTTTTAAGTCAATGTCATCCTACAACTAACTGGCAGTATGTCGCCCCCCTCCCATAGTGCATATCACAATGTTGCATCTTAAAATCAGTAGTATCTTTTTTTAAAAAAGATTTTATTTATTTATTTGAGAGAGAATGAAAGAGAGAGAGCACGAGAGGGGGGAGGGTCAGAGGGAGAAGCGGACTCCCCGCTGAGCAGGGAGCCCGACGCGGGACTCGATCCCGGGACTCCAGGATCATGACCTGAGCCGAAGGCAGTCGCTTAACCAACTGAGCCACCCAGGCGCCCAAAATCAGTAGTATCTTAAATTTGACAAAATATAGGTGAGCATAAACAGATGCTCAGAGAGATTAAGAAACTTGGTGGAGGGAGCACAGCTACTGAGTGGTGAAGCCAGACTCAGTCTGCACTAGAGAGGCTCTAAGAGAGGAAGGGGATGGGGGAGCCACGTACTGAGCTGGGGGACAGAGGGGTACCACTCACCCGGTCATAGGTGTAGGCAATGTCCATGGAGGAGATGCCCAGGAAGTGAACGAACGGTGCATAGTCGCTGCCGGCACCCAGAGAGCCCAGACTGCGAAAACAAAGATGGTCGGGCTGGAGGGCGCTGGGCCAGCCCGCCCTCCCCGGTCCCCCGTCCTGGCCCTCGGCTCACCTGGGGACCAGGCCGTAGGCTGGGCTGCTACGATTGGAATACCGGATCCAGTTGTCGTAGATGCTGAGGCCAACAGGGCTTGGTGCGGGGATCTGACCGGAAGAGGAATCTAGTCAGGGGCTGGCCCCTCCCCAGGCCCACCGGAGTCTCCATCCTAAGCACGGGCCTGCGGGTCCTACAAGGCCTGCCCCCCACCCCGCCCACCCCGCCCCGCCCCCGCCCAGGCCTCTGTCCTACCGCCAAGCCCCTGCAACGAGGACCAGCTCCAGCCCCGCCCGCCCCGCCCCGCCCCCTTTCACCTGTTTAGTGGCAGCGAAGATGACGCTCTGGACCGGGGGCGTCCCCTGCGCCCTCAAAGTGGCATTGGCTGTGGGAAGACCAGAGAAAGTATTCGGGCCGCCGCCCCTTCGTTTCTCCTCCCCCTAGTCAGCCCAGCCGCCCCCCGCCCCCGTACCAAACACCGAGATGTCCACGTTGATGTAGGCCACGGTGCGCTCCTGCAGCTTGCTGAAGAATTCCTGCGGGTAGGGGGGCCGAGGTGAGCCCGGCCAGGCCCCGCCTCGGGAATCCTTCCACCACCCGCTTCTCAGGGCTCACTCACCTCGGTGAATTCTGTGGAGCCAATGAGCCCAAACTCCTCTGCCCCCCAGCTTGCAAACACTATTGATCTGCGGGGACGCCAGGTGCCTGGGGAGGGGGATAAAGGGCTGGAGGAGGACACGTTCCCCGGATCTCGGGGTGGCTTGGGGGAGATGCTAGAGAGGTGGAGAGCAGGAAGGGCTGGTCCGGGTGGGGCAGCCAGTGACAGGAGGTAGGTCCCACTGCCTCTCCAGCCCAGCCTTCTCTGAGGTGCAGTCCTCCTTTTCCCAGCCTCTGCCTGTGCTGGGACCCCTACCCCAACATTGAACTCTATACCAATCTCAGGTGGTCCCTTCTGCCAGAATGGCCTGCCTCCCCCTTCCTTAGAGGTATGCTTTGAGTAGACCACTCGACCCTCCATCCCCAATTGTCTCCTTCGCGCATCCCATGCCAAACTCTCCGGCAACTTTCTCCACTCGGTGATAATACAGTGAAGTCCTCTTAGGGCGTTATCCATATTGAGTCAATCCTCAAAACAACGCTTTGAGGGATAAGAGCCTTATTGTCTCCATTTCACAGATGAAACTGAGCTGCACAAAAGTTAAATGACTTGCCCAGGGTTACACAGCTGGTAGGCATAGAGCCAGGGTTCAAGTCCAGGGTCTGGCTCCAGAGTCCAGGGGCTTAAGGAATTGGTCACACCACCTCCCACAGCCTCTGGCAGCCTACAGCACCACATGTTCCTGGTTGTGCTCCCCTCTTGAGCTCCAACTCAGTACCCTTTGATCATTTCTCAGATTTTTGTTTTAATTTTATCTTCTTAAGTAGGCTCCATGCCCAGCGTGGAGCCCAATGTGGAGCCCAACTTGGGGCTTGAACTCAGGACCCTGAGATCAAGACTTGAGGTGAGATCAAGAGTCCGACGCTTAACCGACTGAGCCACCCAGGTGCCCCCTCAACTTTTGTTTTAAATGAAAATTGTTGGGGCGCCTGGGTGGCTCAGTCGTTAAGCATCTGCCTTCGGCTCAGGTCATGATCTCAGGGTGCTGGGATTGAGCCCCGCATCGGGCTCCCTGCTCCGCGGGAAGCCTGCTTCTCCGTCTCCCACTCCCCCTGCTTGTGTTCCCTCTCTCGCTGTGTCTCTGTCAAATAAATAAATAAAATCTTTTTTTTCTTTTTTACTTTTTTTATTTATTTTTTTAAAAGATTTTATTTATTTATCTGAGAGAGAGAGAATGAGAGACAGAGAGCATGAGAGGGAGGAGGGTCAGAGGGAGAAGCAGACTCCCTGCAGAGCAGGGAGCCCGATGCGGGACTCGATCCCAGGACTCCAGGATCATGACCTGAGCCGAAGGCAGTCGCTTAACCAACTGAGCCACCCAGGCGCCCAATAAATAAAATCTTAAAAAAAAAAAAAAGAAGAAATTTCTTTGCTCTAAAGGTCATCATAACATCATCATCAACATTGTTCATTTCCTGATTTTGATCATTATACTGTGGCTATGAAAGAAAATGTTCTTATTTTTAGGAAATACACAGTGATATGTTTATGGGTAAAGGTGCAGCATTTCTGCAACTTTCAAACACTCCAGAAAACAATAGAGAGAGAAAGAGCCAACATGATAAGATCTTAATATCAGGAGTATTGGGGTGAACTGTGTCCAAGGCTCCTTTGTACTATTTTGGCAAGCCTCATGTATTCTGAAATTATTTCAAAATAAAACACTTGAACAACAGAGACAGAAATTCCTACACTACCAAAGGGGGTAAAGCCACACTCCCAGCCTCTTTCCACAAGCTTGCCCCACTCTGCTATCAGTTGATCTCAACCACACCTGTGGTTTTACCTGTCGTTGATTTCAACAACTCAGTTTATCTCTGGAGTCTCTTTTCTGACCTTGGAGATCAGCACCTTCAACCGCCTGCTTGCCCTCTCCCCAGGAATGTCTCGTAGGCCCCTCAAAATCAATATGTGAATGGGGACACATGTACAAAGATGTAATCTGTAACATCAGTACCATAAAGGGGAAGGACAGAGCTTTATAGGAGTAGAGCTTTTGTATGAGATTAAGTTGGTATCAATTCAAATTATATAGCTTTAACTTTAGGATGCTGTACGTACTGGAAGATGAAAAAGTTCTAGAGATGGTGATGGGTGATGGGCACACAACACTGAATATATTTAATGCCACTGAATTGTACACTCAAAAATGGTTAGAGGGAGCCTGGGTGGCTCGGTCATTTGGGCGTCTGCCTTCGGCTCAGGTCATGATCTCAGGGTCCTGGAATCGAGCCCCACATCAGGCTCCCTGCTCAGCTCCGAGCCTGCTTCTCCCTTCCCCTCCCCTACTTGTGCCCTCTCTCTCGCAAATAAATAAATAAATAAAAATTTAAAAATAATAAACTTTAAAAAAATAAAATAAAATCCCACACCATCTTCCTGCCAACCTCAGACTGAACTCCAAACTCCCCAGCTGGGCTGCCACCTGGTCCAGGCCCTCCTTTCCACATGCTGTGCCCTCCACCTGGATCCCCCACCCCACCCCAAACTGCCAGCTCCACAGGAGGCCTTCCTGAGCTCGGGCTTGTGCCCAGAAAGCCCCTTAGATATTCCTCCTTATAGCGCAGACCCCAGTTGTCTCTGCAGGCGGCAAGTCGGGTGTTCACTGTCGGGGTCTGCTGTGCCTAGAACTGGCCTGGCACACAGTAGGCACACGGGACATATTTGTTCAGTTAACGACTGTCTGTCATCCCTGCCTGAACTGGGCCGAAGCTCCCCGAAGGCAGAGCCTGGGCACCGCCTTGCTCCCAGCGGCGCCCGGCCCGCTCCACTGGAGGGGCACGGAGGCTCTCGGAAGCCACTGCACGAGTCCCCATACCCCACGGGGCGACTCGAGCGAGGCCAGGGCTGGCGTCCACGCAGGTCGGCCCCCAGGGCCCTCGGGCTTGGCACAAGTCGGCACCGGAGCATGAGACAGAGGAGCTGGGACAGGACTCCTGCGAGCTCAGGGAGGTGTCCCTGCTGGGACAGCCCGTAGACCAGGGACTGGGGCCGCCTCACCCTTCTTCAGCAGGGTCCCCAGGACTCGGGAGAGCTCCAGGAGGACGGCCGTGCCACTGCTGGGGTCCACGGCCCCGTGTACCCAGCTGTCCCGGTGGTTTCCGTACAGCACATAGCGGTCTGGCGAGAGGAGCAGAGACTCAGAAACCAGGGGGGAGGGAATGTGGGCGGGGCCAGGCAGGCGGGGCGCGGGGGCGTGGTCAGAGGGTCCTCGGGGCGGGGCACGGCCCTAGGGGCTCAGGGAGGCCTGAGGGGGCGCTCACCCGGCTCCACGGCGCCGCGGATGATCCCCAGGACGTTGGAGGAGTTCCGCAGCTCCAGGCGGTTGTGGACACTCACGTTCACCTGGCTTGGGGAGCCAAGGGGGCGACCAGAGTCTTGGCCCTGCCCACTCCCCCTCCCAACCCAATGCAGGGGAAACTGAGGCCCAGAGCGACAAAGGGACACCACCACGTCTCTGGCCCACAGGTAACTGGAGAGCAGAAAGGCCCTCTCCCTCAGCACGCTTCCCTGCCCACCCCCCGCAACGGTTAATCCAAAGACCAAAGCTTTTTGTTGGCTTTTTCCTCTGCCACCTCTCAGACCCCCTGCTCCTCCTCCTTGCTCCCCACCCTGGCCCCAGGCTGGAAGCCCTCCCTCCACTTAAGTTATAGGTGTTTTGTTTTGTTTTTTTTAAAGATTTTGTCAGAGAGAGAGAGCCCAACAGCTGGCAGAGGGAGAAGCCGGCTCCCCACTGAGCAAAGACCCAGGCATCCCTTAAGTTACAGTTTTAAACTAAAGTTTACAGTGTCAGTTGGTGGCCCAGACCCTGTCTCCACCCTTCCTCCATCCCACCCTGAGGACCCTGGGACTCAGTAGAGGCTGGGGGCCCTGGTAACCCCCACTCTACTCTTGGCCAACCTGGAGGAAGGAACGAGGGCAGAGGGAAAGAAGGTGCACAGGCCTAGGGGTTCTCATCTCCTCAGGCAGTGGGCCCTGAGCCCTAGTCCCAACCCTGGACTGCTTCCTGGATGCTCTCCAGAGCCCTCACTAGGACCAAGTCCCCCATCACGCTGGTAGTGTGGATTCCAGCAAAGGAGCTGGAAAAAAGGTGAGAGTCCACAGACCCCCAATGGGGGACTCCAAGTTAGGCCAAGGATTGGGTGTGTTGGATGCTCATGATACCCCAGGCCAGGCCCCTTTGCTGAGAAGACTCCATGAACAATTTTCCAAGAACCTCCCCCCCAAACACCCCTGCACAAGCCAGTCCTCCTGAGAGGCAGGGGGCCCTTGGCCCCCTCCCCTATGTACTTCCCCACCCGTGTTCTGTTTGACCAGCACAGAAATAGTAAATGTCCTCTATTCACCAGAAAAAAAAAAAAAAAAAGAGGAAGCATGCCCCGCTCTTCTAATTCCAGTTCTTTTCATGGACTCACTCAGTTAAATACTTATTGGATACTTAGCGTATGTGGGCACTGGGCAGTGACTGGGACAGACACAGCCCTGCCCTTGTGGGACCTCCCTCCCCTGAGCAAGACAAAGCCTGAGGAACTGAGCAAATGCAGGGGTGAAGCAGGGTGGGGAGGACACTAACAGGTCCACCCGTGAGAGGTTACCGGGTGGCAGGTGGGGAGGTTGGTGCTGGCCAGGAATGGCAGGAGTGTGGGGAAGGGTGTTTCAGGCAGATGGAACAGCAAGTGCGGAGGTCTTGGTTTGGGAATGAGCTTGGCGTGTTCAAGGGAGGAGATGGCTGGAGCGTGGAGGTCAGAGGTGATGTGGGGGTGAAGCTCCGCAGGGCCTTGTGGGCCATGCAGCTGTTTCATTAGCTTCCCCGAAGACAGGACAGATATTCTGGAGTCAGGGGAAGGTTGGGAGAGAGAAGAAAGGGAAAGGCTAGGCCTTGAGGTGGGCAGGGAAGCGTAACAAGGGAAGAGGAGAGGAGCCTTGAGAAGAAGGGCCCCACCTCACCTGTCTGCTGGGAAGTCACCATCAGACCGGAAGCCAGGCCCCAACCTGTAGTCACAACCCAGTGCTCCCTGCCAGGCAGCCGGGGCCACAGTTCCCTGGAGGTTACTGCGGAGGAGGTGAAGGGTGTGGGGATTGAAGGTTGGGGGCCACTGGAGGGTGGGCCGGGGACCCCAGGGGCACCAGAGCTTACCAGAGAAGGATTTTTGCATCATCGAAGCCAATGGGTTGAGTGGGAATTGGAGGAAATCCAGGGGCAGCATCAGGGTCCAGGAGGAAAGAAGAGGGATTGGCTGGAAGGTAGGGAGTCAGGGGATCCCCAAAATACTCAAAGTAGGAGCCTCGCTCCACCCCGGACGGAGGCAAGTGCCAGGAGTTTGGGAAGGTCGCATTGGCGGAGCTCAGCCCGTCGTTGATGTCTGCGGGGTCCGCGTATACCAACACCCCAGCGACCCCGTACTTGGCAGCGTTCACAGCCTGTGGGAGGTAGATGAGGCTGTGTTTAGGGCAAGGGGGAGGCGGGCTCAGGTCCTGTTCCCCGCTTCCTTCCTCGCTCTGGAAGATCTGTCTTCCCACGGGCAAGAGGATGTTTGCACCAACCTTTACTGCAACGCTGTGGAGGTAGCAAAAGACCGTGGGGCATAGGCAGGCTGGTGCTTAGCAGTGCGGTGGGTACAAAACGGGGGCATCGAGCCATGGCCCGCCGGGTGGCTGCTCAGGGGAGCATGGGCAATGTGGCCCTGTTCACAGGAGCCAACAGGTGGGAGCGGCCTGAGTGTCCACCAGCAGGAGTGGACGAGCCAGCGTGCCCCGCATGCGAGAGAATATTGCTCAGCCTTCAAAAGTGCTGACGCTCTACACAGCACCGGGGGCCTTGAAAACGTGATGCTCAGTGAGGAAGCCAGACACAAAAAGACAGCAGTGCGTGATTCCTTAACTTATGTGAGGTTTCTAGAACAAGCGAATTCATATGTTTCTAGAAAGTGGGCGAGAGGTTACTGGGAGCTGGGAGGAAGTGGGGAGGGGAGGTGTGAGTGTTTATTTATTTATTTATTTAAAAGATTTTATTTATTTATTTGAGAGAGAGAATGAGAGACAGCACGAGAGGGAAGAGGGTCAGAGGGAGAAGCAGACCCCCAGCTGAGCAGGGAGTCCGATGTGGGACTCGATCCCGGGACTCCAGGATCATGACCTGAGCCGAAGGCAGTCGCCCAACCAACTGAGCCACCCAGGCGCCCAGGTGTGAGTGTTTAATGGGCACAGAGTTTCATTTGGAATGACCAAGAGTCCTGGGAATGGATAGTGGTGATGGTTGCCCAGAATTGTAAAGGTACCTGAGGCCCCTGCATTAAACACTTAAGATTTATTTTATAATTAGATTATTTTCATTTTATGCTGGTATATTTTAGCACCATAAAAACAAAACAGTACCTCAAAAAAAGAAAAAGAACAAGGACACAATTTATGTACCAATTGAGAATAATCCCCAGGATGTATTAAGGTGAAAAAAAGCACAGCTTGAAACAGTGGATATAGTATGCTGCTTTTATAGAAAAAAAAGGGGAAATAAAAATATATATTCGGGGGTGCCTAGGTGGCTCAGTCATTAAGCGTCTGCCTTCGGCTCAGGTCGTGATCCCAGGGTCCTGGGATCGAGCCCCGCATCCGGCTCCCTGCTCAGCGGGAAACCTGCTTCTCCCTCTCCCGCTCCCCCTGCTTGTGTTCCCTCTCTCGCTGTGTCTCTCTCTGTCAAATAAATAAATAGATCTTAATATATACATATATATATATATATATATTCATATGCACCTCTCCCAAAAGGAACTGTGGGTAGATCTCCCATAAACTAAAAAAAAAAAAAACGTGGTTTCCTCTTTGAAGGATGGCATTACAGGAGAATTTTTCCACTCTAAACTTTTTTTTTTAAACTGGAAATTCTATAATCTATATAACTCCACCATGCCTCTTCCCTCTTTTCTTTTCTTTTTTTTTTTCCCCCAGCTCTTATTATGGGCACTTCTTTCAAACACAGATAACATAAAATTTACTGCCATCTTCACTTTATAGCACGGAGTTCAGCAGGATGAAGGACATGCAGTTATTACCCTGCTGTCACCACCACCCACTGAATTCTTCATCTCGCCAATCTGAAACTCTGTAGTCACGAAACACTCATCCCTCTTCCCTTCTCTCACTCTATACCTTTTTAAATTAAAATAAAAGAAAACAAACCCACATTTTTAAAAACCACAGACTTTGACATACTTAGAATTTTTAGTTGAAAAGATGCGGGCTGGGAGGGAGGCAACAGGAGGGATTTAAGTTGAATTATTCAGAAGAACTACTTCGCAGGAGAACTTAGACTCTGGAATAGCAAAGTTGAACATTTTGCCTGATCCACTTACTTCCTAAGGCTCAGAGGGGTGAGGGGAGGCATCCAGGGTCACACAGCACATCATGAGTGGTAATGGTGAGGGAACAGAAGGCAAGCCGAGGACAAAGCGGAAGCTGACACCCTACCTCCCCCCCCCCCCCACTTTGGGATATATGTGACATTCCTCAGGCACTCCTGGCTGCCCTAAAGGGAAAACGAATGGTTAACTGATAGAGATCACAGTCCTGCAGGACAGGAGTCTCCCTCAGTTTACAAACGGCCTAGTGGTTTATGAGGAAGAAGCTTTCTTATCAATAACCTAACTTCCAGAGACCCATAACTTCGTTTCCTGAAGCCCTAACATGACCCACCCCTCCATAAAATTAAGGGAGGCTGAGGTGGAAGGAAATGTAAATAAAACTGAATTTCTTTTGAACCTGAAGCCCATTGACAAGGACTTGTGATAGGAGAAATGTAACATTCCTCCAGGAAACTCCCAACTGTCTTCATGTTAGTGCCTATTAGAGGGAAAAACAACCTTGGCTTGACAATAACCACGCCTCCAGTATCCTGAGAGTCTTTAGCATATGACAGTCCTTCTGGACACCCCCTTTGTCCTCACCTCCCCAACTCCTGAGTATATAATCAGCCACTCCTCAAGACCACAGGGCAGCAGCTCTTTCTGCCCCCGGGTCCTGTCCCCGTGCTTTAATAAGCCACCATTTTGCACCAAGGACACCTCAAGAATTCTTTCTTGGTTGTCGGCTCCAGACTCCACCCCACTGAACCTCACCTATATTCTAGAACTGCATCAATAGTACAAATGTAGCTCACCTCTTCTGCCCCAGCCCAGGGCTCGGCGCACCACCCGGCACTGCTCGGTCCCCTCCCTGCCTCCTGTCCGCGGCTGGTCCCCACCCCACCCAGCCCACCCAGGTCCCTGCCCTGGGGGCTGCTGCTCACCTTGGCCCCGCGGCCTGCACCCCCGTAGCGGGTCAGTGCAATGGTGCCTTCCAGTTTGATGCCCTGAGTCTGTAGATTCGTAAAGTCTTCTTCCGTTCCCCTGTTGGCATAGACGAGGAGGCCCTGGTCCCAACAGGAGGTGATCCTCAGAGCCAGGCCCAGGAAAGGGGGGGTGAGGAAAGGAGAGCGAGGCTACGTGGCAGGGTGATGGAGTTGGGTTCGATTTTCCCACCTCACCCAGAGCTTGTAAGCTTCCCCAGGAACAGAGTCACCCCTGGTTTTCTCTGTGTCCAGGACCCTGAAGCAGGCCTGGTCTTGAGTAGGGGCCATTAGTGTTTGCAGAATGACTAGGTGAGGGGCGAAAGGAGTAGCAATGGAGTATGGCGGGAGGACCCCTGGGCCAGGAAGGGAGAAGCTGGGGTGGAGCCGGAGGGAACTGGGCCGTGGCGGCGGGGCGGCAGGGAGGGGACGGTCCAGGCCCACCTGGGGGGTCCCCGGGGGAGCGTAGGCCGTATATGGTGGTACCACGTCGGGCCCCGCCTGCTCCCCAGTCAGGTTCTGTTCACTCTGGCGGCAGGAAAAGAGGACCCTCCCGGTGGGACTCACTGTGGAGGGGAGGAGGTGTCAGGGCTGGGCCTGGCAGCTCCCCGCCACGGGCATCCCCCGACCTGAGCGGCTCCTCACCGACGGTCACGAGGTTGGGCCGCTCCTGGCCGGGGAAGGACAGCAGCACTTGGTAGGCGGGGGCCTCAGCCGAGTCCAGGCCCGACTCCGGGTCCTTCCAGCGCTGCAGCAGGACCTGCACAAGGGCCTCATCTCGGGGGCTGGAGGCCAGGTGAGGCTCCTTGGAGAGTTCTCTGTAGGGTGCGCGGACAGATGGCCAGGCGCGCGGTTAGGGAGGTGTCTCTGGCAAACAGGAGGGGAGGGTAGACGGCCCTCTCACCTGAGGTTCTCCCGGATCCTGCTGGCATCCAGATGTTGCATGACGGTCTCAAGGATCTCCAGATCCAGGTCCTGGGAGATGCTGGGGGCTGGGACATCGGCCTCTTTGGGCATGGCAAAGTGGCCCAGGATGATCCCCAGCCCCAAGAGGGCAGCGGCCCCCACCGCCCCCCCAAGCACCTTCACCCACTGCATCCTGTGGAGTCTTGGCAGGCTGGGGTCACTCCTAATAGATGGGTGTCGGGTCTAGTTAACCATTACCCTGTGGGTGGCCCTGCCCTTTGGCCCCCAGCTGGCAAGGAGAGTCAGGGAGCATCCTGCAGGAAGGGCCAGGAGCGTTCACAGCCACCTCGATTTCTGCATCAGTCACCTGGAAGGGACCCCCAGGGGTATCAAGTCCACAGAGGCACACTGAGGCCCAGACAGGGACAAGGTCTCAGCCAGATCTCCCAGTAAAACAGAGGCCAAGCCCGAATGGGAACTCAGAGCCCCTGTTAGAGCAAGACTGCCAACTCCCTGCCAACCCCACCTCTATCTCTTCAGTGTCATTTGTAGTACATTTTTAAAAAGATTTTATTTGAGAGAGAGAGAATGAGCAGGGAGAGAGGGAGAGGGAGAAGCAGACTCCCTGCTGAGCAGGGAGCTCCTTGCAGGGCTCGATCCCAGGGCCCCTGGACCATGACCCGAGCCGAAGGCAGGCCCTTAACCCACTGAGCCACCCGGGCACCCCTCCTCAGTGTCATTTGATTTCCAGCCCTGGCTGCTGGAGCAGGTTTTGAGTTCAAATGCCATCCTTGCTGGACATAGGCTGTGTGACCTTGGGCAGTTCACTTAGCCTCTCTGAACCTGTTTTCTCAGCTGTAAAATGGGGATAATAGACCTATTTCACAAAATTGATGCTGTTTCCATTAAAGAAGTCCACATCTATCGAAATATCTAATCAGGGTCTGGCACATAGTGGGAGCTCAGTAAATTTTAGCCACTCCTGCTTCATCTGGATCCCTAAAATGCAAGCTTGGGGTTAAAGGAAGAAAGGGGATCCAGAAGAATGCTCTGTATGTATCCTGCAGGGGACCCAGCTTATGGGAGGACATGGAACTCTTAGAGAGGGAGGCCGTTCTAGAGGTCAGAGACAGGGAAGCCCATTCTTCCTTGGCAAGGTGACTTCCTCCTCCTTTCCCTGACCTTATCTGGAATCCATTCATCTGTTCATTCATCCTTCTACCTATTTATCCACCCACCCTCCTATCCACCCAACCACCTACTCTTCCATCCATCCATTCATCGATCTATCAGTTCATCTATTCATCCATCTATCCACCCAGCTATCTACCCACCCATCTATCCATTCGTTTATTCACTCCTTCACTAATACCTGCAAGCTTCATTCATTCATTTGGCTCTGTGTAAGACCCATGCTAGGCCCTGAGGAGGAAAAGGTACACAGATCCAAGTCCTGGGAGACCCAGGGATTCAAGTCTAGCAGGGAGACAGGCGGCTTTTGGCTACCTTGTGATAAGTGCCCCTATAAAGGGAGGACCAGTGTGTTTCCAGTGGGGAGGATGAGGAATTCTGTCTAAGAGGGAACATTTGAGGGGATCTTCCAAGGTTGAGAAGGCATTCAGCACGCAGAGAAGGCGAGGGGCAGACGGTCCACGCAAATGGCCCAGCACGTGCACAGGGAGAGGGAGAGGAGGACACCAAATACTCAGTACAAATACTGAGCCTCTTCCAGGCCTCAGGGAGCCAGGCAGGGTTGGGGAGGTCCCTGGGGCTGTGACTCCTCCTACCCCCCCCCCCCCCCCCCCCCGCCATGGCCTATCCTGCCTTGGGCCTTGGCCCAGCCAGGCTGCAGCCACTGATTGTCCCAAAGATGCCTGAAGAGCTGGGGGAGCTAGGCTGTGGTACACTGTGGGTGTGTGTGTGTGTGTGTGCGCGCTCACGCACGCGCGCGATTCCACGGCCCACTCTCAGAGCAGCCCCCTTCCTGCTCACAACCCTGTCTCATGGGCACCACCTGCCCCTCACCCTCCCATGTCCATCTCCCCATGTGCTGCTGGTCGGGAGGATCTGCATGTTCGCATGGGAGGACTATAGACGGGGTCTAGCGTGATCCGTGACTTCAGGGAGGCACACCAGGAAGCCACAGCTTTTGGCCTGGTGATTATCAGTACTCGGGATATGACGTTGGATCTTATCGGAAGCGCGTCTGTGCAGGGAGCACATGCATTCCTGAGGACACAGGAGGGAGGCAGGCAGTGGGAGGGACATCAAGATCGGCTGATAAGCTGAAGAATGGACGCGGTAATGACACCATGAGGCCCCAGCCCCATGTCCTACACCACCCGCGCCCGGAAGGATTTAGCCCCTTGAACACGGGCTGTTCCAGACAGGATACGTGGACAAGAGTGTGACATCTGTGCGTGACATCTGAGAACTCCAGCTCAGGCTGTTGGGGTCAGCTGGTGTCTACACTGCTGTAGGCACTGGACAGAAGCCTGGTCAATTTTCCTTTCCCCATCTTGGCCCGGTGGGTGGTGTGACCCCTCCCTGAACATTATTTTTTTAAGACAGTGTCATAGCATTATAAGTCAAAGCCAAGGTCTGGAGCACAGGGAGGGGAGGGTTGGGGTTTGTACCCTACTACAAAACCCTAGGGCCGGGATATGCCTTCATCCTGAGATTCCAAACACCCAAAGTACAGGGAAGAGCTGGTTGGCAACATGACTCAAGATAGTTTTTTCCCCAAATTCCTAGAACAAGTAAACTTGAGCTTCCTTTGTCACTTAAAAAAAAAAATCCCCCCTTTTTGGTAGGAAAGAAAAGAATGAAAAGGCACATAGGGATTTAAAAAGAAACACAAAGAATCGAGTCAGAAGAGATATTATAAATGTTAGGTTGATTTAGAAGAGTTGCTCTGGGCAGTTAACAGTTTGTTTACTCCGAGGAGCGTCTAACTCTGAACCTATTGCACGTGGCAGTTAGAAGTCGTTGTGGAGGGGCGCCTGGGTGGCTCAGTCGGTTGAGCGACTGCCTTCGGCTCAGGTCATGATCCTGGAGTCCCGGGATCGAGTCCCGCATCGGGCTCCCTGCTCGGCGGGGAGTCTGCTTCTCCCTCTGGCCCTCCTCCCTCTCATGCTCTCTGTCTCTCATTCTCTCTGTCTCAAATAAATAAATAAATAAATAAAATCTTAAAAAAAAAAAAAAAAGAAGTCGTTGTGGCAAGAGAAAACCACGGCTGGCCTGCGGCTGCCAACATAAACATAAAAACAGCCAGACACCATAGGGAAGGGGTAGGGATGAAGGTGGGGTTTGCTTTTTATTATAAAAGAAAAAGTAACTCCTCAGAAATCTTAACAGAGGAAAGGCTAATCTCACACCCAGAGACTAGACACCAGGACAAAATGGCAAATGTTCTGACTCCAGGGCTGTCCCCATCTCCTCACAGAGCAGAGATGGGAAGGGGACAGTTGAAGCAAACAAGTAATTCTGCAAAGACAAAGGCTCAGAAACCTTATAGATAGGATTAAAATCTAAACTTCTCTTTTGCTTTTTAAAAAATGTTAATATATGAAAAGGCCTGCCTGCATTAGTGACATGCTAGAAAATAATCCCAAGAGCCCCTTATCAGTACCACACTCAAGTTGACCAGCCAACTCTTCTTTCTAAACCTCGGTGTGTACATGTGTGTCTTTTAAACCAAAGCCATAGGATGCCTGGGTGGCTCAGTCAGTTAAGTGGCTGCCTTGGGCTCAGGTCAGGATCCCGAGGTCCTGGGATCGAGCCCCGCATTGGGCTCCCTGCTCCGCGGGAGGCCTGCTTCTCCCTCTCCCACTCCCCCTGCTTGTGTTGCCTCTCTCGCTGTGTCTCTCTCTGTCAAATAAATAAATAAAATCTTAAAAAAAAAAAAAAGAGCTTTTTCTTCTAAGATAGGTCAATCCATCCCTATGCTGCGCTTGTCTTCAGGTGAGGGCCATTTCACCCCAGGGAAGGGAAGGACTGCACCAGGAGTATGAGGGAGGGGGGCATTTTCCTGCTTGGTTCTCTCCTAAGTCTCACTTTTTTTTTTTTTTTTAAGATTTTATTATTTATTTGACAGGGAGAGAGAGCACAAGTAGACAGAGGGAGAGGGAGAAGCAGGCTCCCTACTGAGCAGAAAGCCCAATGTGGGGCTCCTAAGTCTCACTTTTCATGGAAAGTTGGTTATAACCTTACATGAAGGGGAACTTCCCACCAAGAGGGGAAATCCTAACCTGACCCCAGAGTAGTAACCCCACCCCAACACTCAGCTACCTTGAAGAAAGAGCCCTCCTCCTCCCTTCACAAACTGTGCTCTGTCTGGGGAGCTACGCCTATTGGACAAACACGCCTGATTAAATGGGAGCAGTGGTTATGTCTCCCCACCCCCTCCCCACAAATGTATCAGACGGCTTCAGTGACAGGGGAGCAAAGGGAGGGATGTAAAAAGATTAAGAACTTGACCCCTCTGGGGCGCCTGGGTGGCTCAGTTGGTTGGGCGACTGCCTTCGGCTCAGGTCATGATCCTGGAGTCCCGGGATCGAGTCCCGCATCGGGCTCCTTGCTCTCATGCTCTCTCTCTCTAATAAATAAATCTTAATATTAAAAAAAAAAAAAAGAACTTGACCCCTCTATCCTGGCCGAAGAAAGCAAGAGATATTACCTGGGCATGAGGAATAAAAAAAGATCTTGATATTCCGCCCTTTGAGTTATAGCTATTAGGACAGTTGAGAGAGGGCAAACATGGAGGCAGGATGGAGAACGAGGAAGGGTTTGATGGCTGCAAGTCTAGTCCACTTCGTTTTTGTATGGGAAATGTTTGTCGCCAGTTCCGCTGAGAAGACATGCGTGGATGAGGGCTTCTGTCACCGGAAAGGGGTCACAGTTGGCAGAGGGATGCCAGTCTCCAAGGTAACCCTTCTTCTCCTGGCTGACAGTCCGGGGAATGCGGATGCTGGCCCCACAGTTGGCCATGCAGGCGGAAAAGTTGTTGATGTTGGACGTTTCATGGAATCCAGTTAGGCGCCGGGCGGTATCCAAGCCCCCTTCGGGATCGTAGGCTGGGATATACTGCTGCTCCTTGCTCAGTTCCTCGGTGGACTCCTCAGTGTACTTCCGACCATTCTCCTCTCGCATGACCTTGGTGCTGAAGTGTGGCCGGCTGCACCATCCCAGGTCCCGGGAATGGGCTCAGGATCAAAGGTTGCTATCACTCCAAAGTCTTCACATACACGAAGCAAGATGAAATGGGCCACCCAGAGATGATCTCCCATGTCAATGCCCTCACGGGGTCCTGTCTGGACTTCCCACTGGGTGGCCATGACCTCAGCATTTGTCCCAGCGATCTTTTTTTTAAAGATTTTATTTATTTATTTGACAGAGAGAGAGACAGCGAGAGAGGGAACACAAGCAGGGGAGTGGGAGAGGGAGAAGCAGGCTCCCCGCGTAGCATGGAGCCCGATGCGGGGCTCGATCCCAGGACCCTGGGATCATGACCTGAGCCGAAGGCAGACGCTTAACGACTGAGCTACCCAGGCGCCCCTGTCCCAGCGATCTTGATGCCGGCATCCAAGCAGGCCCCCAGTAGAGAGCCCCCGGGATACCCCTGCCTCAGGCTTCGTCTGCTTGCATGCCACAGTGGTAGGGACCTTCGGGCCCTCCCTAAACATGTTGGATTGTGGTGTTGATGGAAACCACTTAAGGTAGCAAATGCATCTCCTTTTCTTTTCCCACCTCGCTCCTCGGTCCCACTGATAGCAAGAGTTCTCAGGTCCCTCCAGGACTCCCGATTCCGTGGTGCCAGTTCTTCCCACTTTCCTGCTCCTCCGTCCAGCCCAGCCCCTTGCAAAGCCTCTCCACCCCCCC